GTTCACGGTTCTCGCGTCTCGAGCCCGGGAAAATGTGGACAACGGTTCGCCTGGAGTCTTGCAGTTTGCGGTATCTTCGAAGGCCCGATGCTCTAGAGACCCAAGTGACCGGCTATCGCGCTTATCGGTCAACGCATCGACGCCGACGCTAGCGACGATACTGCCGATATCCGGGTTTTTAGCGCTGACGTACTTGTCAAGCATGAATTGGCACCGATCGAGACGCGCGAGCTTGCTGCTGTACGTTTCTCATACGTGATATTCCATTCCAGGCAGCATCTCTTGACATGCAGGACTCTCGTACGGGAGGAGTCTTCGTGCGCGGTTTCCAACCTGAGGCAAGGCTCCTCCTTGAGCAATCGCAGGATAATGGAAGTGTGGCCGTAGATATTCTCGGCATTGCGTTCATTACGATCTACCATCTTCGCTGCCAACTTCACATCCACTGGCGTCCCTCTTGTCACGTCCTTCGTCTACTCTTGCTCTTGAGCAATCTCGCAAGCAACTCACACTCCCTCGCCCCCCCCCCCACTATACGCCGAACGCGCATTTTTTCGTTTATAAGTCTCTTGAGGGCTAAGATTCTGGCAAAGACTGTACTTACCGACCTCGAGGACCTTACCCCCCCCCCCCCCCCCCCACTATACGCCGAACGCGCATTTTTTCGTTTATAAGTCTCTTGAGGGCTAAGATTCTGGCAAAGACTGTACTTACCGACCTCGAGGACCTTATCAACCTCAAGATTCGCTCATTCGACAGGGCTACGCGTTTTTAGCATACTCCCTTCCCGCCTTTCAATTCCAATTTCCGTTTGCCTTGCTTATTACTCTTTATTTTAATCGTTCGTTATGACTGTCTCGTAGTTATCATAATCATTTTATCATCGTCATCGTCATCGATATTTTAACTACTAATTGTTATTTATTGATAGCTATACAGTAATAAACACTAATTTTGGTATAAAAGTATTTTGTAAAATTCAATCGCAAAGTCTTCTACTTATCGTTAAATTATTCTTCGTCTACAATATTGTTTTGCTTAAATGATGAACGAGTAGCATTTTTATTTTTATAATCATTTACGAGAAGCGACATTTACATTTGCATTAAATGAAAAAACTCTGCCTCCGTCTCATTCCATACTTTGAATTATATAATGCTATAATGGAATAGCGATGGGTTAATTATAATCCTTTATAAAATCCATGCCAGACGTATTGCATATCGCAATGAAATTATATTCGTCTAATAGAACTAAATAAAAATAGCGGCAAAAATGTCGAATGGTCGGATTTACGGGAAGTCTAAGGTAAATTTACAGTCAATTATGTAAGCAAAGAGCAATTACCTGTTGGAACTGTTGCTGTTGCCATTTAATAGGCTTTGAGAACCAAACCAGCCATTGAGATCGCTATGGCAGCCGACGGGATCGTCATCGAGCTCCAATGGGGATAGCTCGGTGAAGTTGAAGCCAAGTTCGGGATGCCCACCGATGACGCTATCGATTTCGCTTTTGATGTCGCAATCCAGCATGTCCTGGAGCGACTGGTCCGTGCCCAGTGTCCAGTCCATGGTTGTGAGCCAAGGGTCCCGAGATGGTCCCTGATCCAGCACACTGCTGTGTCTACTCTCTGTATCCAACATTCACACGTCTGTAACAGAGGGAAGGAAGTATGACGTTAGCATTTTTCCCTGAATTCACTGTTAATGATTACTGGGCTGCCATTATATTTCGATTTTTATATGTTAGCCGTTGAGCAGTGATTTCATCGTTATTATGACGAATTATAATGACAATATTCAGTTGAATAAGTACAATCCACCCGGTACGAAGCGAGCGCCCATATTCGACGCCATTATATGGTGGTTTACATTCGCTTCTGCGCATGCGTATAAACATTGTTCCATGTATCTACAACCCTGTATATATTGGAAACATCCGGGGGTTTCAATATAATTTTCACTTTCGACGATGGTATAACAATTGATTTATTTCTAAATCTCGCGGTAATAAAAAAAAAGATAAATTTAATCCAACAAGGATTATTATTATAAACTTAACATTCTTAATGAATCTCAATGAAGGGGAAAATTAATAAAACCAAATTATTTCGTGTTTTTCGATAATATTTAAATTATAAAAAAAATTTACTTTTATAAAAACTGAATATTCGAGGGACAAGATATTATCGGTCCCGAGCTTGGTGCAAATTATTTTTCTATGTTAATACAATCGTCTATATAATTTAAAAGGAATATGAATATGAATTGATTTAAAATGATTTTGCCATTTATAATATCATGAAGATTAAATGTACAAAGTTGTAATGTAGGTAAAATCTGCATTGAAAGGTTAATATAATCATAGTCCGTGTGGCAATATTTCTTCTAATGACTATCGAATGGGTTGAAGGTAAAAAAAAAACAGGCAAGAAAAGAAACACGTTGAATACACTAGTTGTGTAGCGTGCACACGTGCTCGAAAAAAAACAAACATAAACAATCACTTTCGATTTTAGCATAATTCTTTATTTCCGTATAGATGGATGAAAGAGTACGTAGTACATAAGTCGATCATACGGATCCCATAAAATCGAAGGGGAAGATATAGTAGCAAGAAGACTTGAGAATTGGTATTATCGATGTTTCTACTTCTCTCCCTCCCTCTCTCTCTCCAGCTCCCTCCCTCTCCCTCTCTCTCTCTCTCTCTCTCTCATCTGCTCCCCTCTGCCCCTCACTCTCATCTTTCATTTTTTTCACTCAATTTCTTTCGACAGTTTTTCGGGTAATGGCTGCGGCGTTAAGAACGTAAAGAGTTTTCAACAGACGATCGATCCTTCGCCTCGCGAGCACGTACAAGTTATTTCCGTCGTCGCGGATGAAAAACGAAAGTAAATCGACGAGTTGAGCAAAGCGTGTATGCACTCGTTCTAAGTAAAGCCACTCGTCCATGAAAGTACGAACGAGCTTGCTTCACAAATTATATTATAATTTTCATTTAAATTGAAATTTTTCAAAGGTTATTTTCCATAATCAGCTTACATGTTTAATCAATATCATGATTAAAAATTTTAACAAGAAAATCGGTATATTTTCGATCATTATCGCACGTACATCTTCGAATTTATCTAGCTAATAGAGCATAAAGAACTTTAACGGCAATTCAAACGTAAGTATAAGAAAAAGAAGAAGAAGAAGAAGAAGAAGAAGAAGAAGAAGAAGAAGAAGAAGAAGAGGAAGAAGCTAATCCATCTCGCTAATCCAAATTATGCAAAAGTTGTAGAAAGATGGGCTGCTTTTGGCTATTCGGCGAGCTTCGATCGCTCGACAATAATCCGCGGAATTAAGCGAAAACAGGATGGGGACATTCGTTTGTTTATGGGCGGTGAGATCGCGGGCGGAGCAAGGGCAGGAGGAGTAAGAGTCGCGGGGCTTCGCCGTGGGTGTGCTTGTGACCTCGGTCGGAGTTTGCCGAGGCTCTTGAACCCGCTCACTTGCCGCTGGGTTCTCGTGGGTGTGACTGACTATCCCTCCCCTTCACGGCTCTCTCATTCGGTCTTGCTACCGCACTCGCAAGTTTAAGCCCTCGATTTATGTACTTCGTCACCGTAGTACTGCTCACATACGTAACACTCTTTGCCACGACTACGTAATGGGGGCCGTTGTATGCCGCTTCTTTTACGGGCTTCCAATCGGGATTTCCTCTTTTTATGCCGGGCTTCGATCGATCGATTTTTCTAAAACGACTTTTTTCACCATAAGTGACATGTGCTTCTCGCGTTGTTGGCGCGCTCTCTCGAGCGTACGAGCTTGTGGTATGTGTTAGGTTTGGCATGAGAACAACGATTTCGATTACACCATTATCTATTGTTTCTAATATTTGTACAGTTAATATTGCAAATTCGATTATAAAATCCCGTAACTGCAAGTACCGTTAAAGCATCGTGTATGCTTTCAATGCAGCAGCTGCAACGTTCTGTCATCGACCTAATGTTTATACTGAAATGGAAACTTTAATGCACAGCATTGCTTCGAAGAAAGCACAACTGTGATCCTTTGTCGCTACCGTTTAAACTTGATAAAGTTTATACTAATCCAAATGAAAAACAAAAGCAAAAAAAAAAAAAACAAACAAACAAACAAACAAAGTTAAGCCTTGAATCTATACAAGCTTCGATATATTGTTCACTTTGGCAATTTACATTTATATGAAAGATCGTTTGGAAAAGCCATTTTATTCGACTGAAAGGAAATACTTTTAGAATTATCATTACATTTTTCGATAACATAGTATTTAAAAGCGTTATTATGGTCTCTTCATAGGAAATTCCATAATTCTTAATTTCATATTAAACGGTGACGGTTATTTCAGACAATATTCGAAGAATAATAATTCTACTTTGCATCTAGCTTTATTTTAGTTTGTCTTATAAGATTTTTAATGACGAGCTTTTTATAGTGAATTTATTCGTTATTTAACAATGACGAAGTCTCATGTAGAAAAAAAAATAAATAAACTTTTTTCATGTAAATAGCAAATATTATTTTATCTAATTCTTACGCAATCACTTGGAATTACGATATGCCGATTATTATTATTTGTTACAAATTAACAATATAAATAAAATCCGATTGTAAACTCTTCGCTATACTTAATCACTAATAAATTTGTATCTTTAATTTTACTATCTCCTCTTTGTAATATGGTGTAGCTTATCAATAATTTTAACTCTTCTTCACGGTGTTATTTTATCGGGAAATAATGTTTTCGCGATGCATTTATATTTACGAATTATTATATTGTAACTGAAAAAATAGCTCAATCCCTTAAAATCCTATTACATTATAATTGTAAGCTCTTGAATTATATTTCATGTTAAATGTATTTAAATAACGTGATTTCTTGTATAAAGTACGATAGAAAATGATGCGAGGATAGGTCAGTTTTCTTAAGCTAACAATATGAAAAGTCGAAAGAGATCGTAGATAGCATGTCGAAGAATGGATAACAAACACATCAGAAGGAAAATGCGGAGAGAGGGAACGAGAGAGAAGAATAAACAGACGTGTCTATCTATTCCCAGTCCTCGCAAATTGCGTATTACGCGAAGCCTTCTAAACCATTAAAGGCTAGTTGTTCCTTCCTTCTCCTTCCTAGAGATGGTGGGGTGGGTGGGTATAGGAGAAGGCACAAAAGCGTGAAAGCGACTCATCGCTGCATAACGAGTAAAATTCAGCTTTTAAAAAGCACACGATGTGGTTGGTGCTTCCGTTAACGCGCTGGCGCGCAATTGTAAGAATCTTAGCCCCGCGCACAAAGAGTACATTGGCTTTTATCCATTTTCGCGTTAGTCGTTCTCGTAGCATCCGAGCAAACCTGTCACTCGCTCAGGGCCAGTAGTGATAAAGGAAGGTAGCGCAAAAAAAAAAAAAAACAAAAGAAAACGAACACTAGGTGTGCGAGCAGCGGGACGAGGAAGAGAACAATGTCACGTGAATAATGGGTTATAGGGAGCAGCCGTATACAAGTGTTGATACAGTAGAAAAAAAGAATGCAAAATTAGAATTTCGGGAACGTCGGAAAACTCGAAGCTTTCAACCATATGATCTAAAATTTTAATTTCGAGATCTATGAATGAGTAGCACAGCATGGATGATAATAAAGTCTCACCACTGGGGCAACGGAGACAGTAAAATGAGCAAGAGAAATGGAGCTTACAGTAAGCGGCCACGATTACGCGAATATCCAACTTTTCAAACTTACTCCTTCATTTCGTCATTATCTTTAAAAAAAAAAACTTAATTGTTTTATATAAATATTCAATTAGCTATTATGCACATATTTCATAATGGATGAATATATTATGACCGAAGTTTGTCTAACTTTGCTGCTAAAGAGTCTACTAAAGAGATATGACGACACTGATTTTCAAACTAAATTTGTATAATACTATTTGTTCGCGTAGTAATTCAATGCACTGCTAATTAAGGAAGCTAAAGAAATTTATTTTGTATCAACGAATACATAATTTAATTAAAATTAAGATGGACTTAAGTTGATTTGGTTAGAGTACGTGAAAAGTAACAAATATTCCATCGAGTTTATTTAATTTTGCCCCACAAGTTTGGAATAACTAAATTTAGTGGCTCCTTAGTAAATTAAGAAGTGATGAAAGATATGAGAGTTGCAAAAGGTCCTAAGAGACGAAAATAAAGCATTTCTACAAAGATTTCATTGAAGCAGAGCATGAATGAGCGAAAGGCATGAAGGCGGAGACGTCTATATAAGAGGAAGACGGGTCTGAGAAAAGTCTCTCCCTTCTAAAGAGAGAGAGAGAGAGAGAGAGAGAGAGAGCACGAATGCACTTTGTGCACTGAATCGTGTGTTGTCGTGTGTTTGTTTTCCAAACGCAAGGGCAGCGAGATGAAGAGGAAAAGAGGAACATAAAACAGTAAGAGAGAGAGAGAGAGAGAGAGAGAGAGAGAGAAGGAGAAGATAAACTGTCGACCAAAATAAAGATTCAAGGATGGACCTAATAACGGAACAGATGCACTATACAGACTTTTACTATACACATGCGTGTGCTTATCTACTGACTTTGGATATCTGAAGAGCAAGGGAAGAGAGGGTATTTTTGTTTTTAAATTCATG